AGAAAATCGACAGAGTTCCGTTCAATCGATCGTAAATCGCCAAGATTTGTATTTCACGTGGACAGGTAAAGCACGTATCGGGGACGTCGGTCAGTTGGACGCGGACTATTGCCTCAGACGGTACGACATCCACTTACGCTCACCGATTCTTAATTTAATAATTCTTAAACAGCCCATTCTTAATCGCTTTTTCCCTCGTTCTTCCTCTGTGATACAAGAACATTTTTTAAAGAGAGTATTTTCGACACCGTTTCTGACGTCGCGTCTATACTTATCATGTGAAACGTTCGCTACTTGAGGAAATTTTTTTTTAAATAATTAGACATCCTTGAGCAAGTAAATTCGAGAAAAATTAAACAGGTAGGTATTAGTGGGCGTCTTTCGTTCCTTTCCGTTCCGGGATTCTTTAGTATTTAAGACTTTCGCCGCGCCTTTGTTTGCATTTGGGAAACTAAGTTACGAACTCCACTATTGGAAAACAGATAAGCGATTATCGAAGATCTAGTAGCTGCGTGAATCATCGGTTCGAGGAGAATGCAGTACCGATGGCTGAATTTCAGGTAAATTCGCGGATACCTCATTACCTTGTCGAGTCTTCTATTCAAAGTTCCCGACCGATTGAATTTTTTCCAGAGGGCCTACTCCCTCCCGGTACGAACGCACACTCCGTCCTCCCAAAATCGCATCAATCTGCGACGAAGTGTCAGAGGAGAACCACCCCTGCATCCCGCCAGACTTCGAAAGCACAGACACGGCTGGACTCTGCATCTGGCGCATCCTCTCGAGGCTTCTGGATGCACCAGATCCCTGGTCCTTCTGTTGATCGTGTTACTGCTACTTCTGGGAATAGGCGGCGTCGCTTTATATATCGCGTTCGGTGAGCATGATATATACTTATACAGCTGATTCTCTATTCACATATTCCACCCACAAAAAATATATATCCAAAAATGTAGTTATTTCGATAGAATGACAAGAGTAAGCGCAGAACGAAAGATCGAAGTGAAATGTGACGGCGAAGGAAAAAGAGTTGGAGCGCAGGGTAATTAAGCGCCAGGGGGCCAAGCAGGCGACGAGTGATGACGTGCGACAAGCACTCGGCACCGAGGTTTAATTCGACCGAGCGAAATAATTGTAGCAACGAGATGAATTTAACCGCTGGATCAACGCTACCCTTTGCTCGATGTGACGATTCAGTTAAGGCGGCCATGCAAAAGCGCGACAAGTCCGCGCGTATCACGCACGAGAAACACCAAGTTGCGTTCACTGTTTATTTCTAGCCTCGTCTTTCACTCAGCGGCCATTCTTTAAACAAGCTGTTGACGCTTGTTAAATGATGCCGCCGCTCTATCGTTCTATGTCTTTAACGCGTTTATATATTATAATAGTTGTCGAAACTTTTATTACAAGAGAAAGAGACATTCTTTTCCACTCACTGGTTAGAAAATAGTTTTGCTATCTTTCTACAATTCGCCATAAAGTTTTGTCGAAATTAGTGAATTTTCTTCAGAGCCCGAGAAACTACAGATTATTCAACAGTACCTGAGGTCGTCGACAAACGACTCGGCGTCGAACGATAACGTGTTAGCTGCGGAAACGTTGCTGCACCGATCAAACGAAACGTCGAGCGCGTCAACGACAACGGCGCCGTCGCTGCTGGCGAGCAGCACCCTTTTAAACGTCGACCGGTCATTTCCGGAGAGCGGTGCACCGCTGGCGCCGGAAGCGGAAACGGAAGCCAGCAGCCCGTCCAGCCTCAACTCCACCAGATATTGCGACGACTGCCTGACAGAAGAGGTTTGCGTCGCCCTCGTCGACGAGGAAGTGCCTACCTGCAAGATCGCTCTCGATTCCCAAGATCCCACCGGATGCGCCGGCTTCTGCCTTATTAACAAACAAAAATGTCATCGTCTCGACGTAGACGCGTTTAGGTTCGTTCCCCTTACGCTTTTTACGCAATTACTAAATTATTTATTACCCAGTTATGTATGACACGGCTGTGAAACGGACGTTACATTTTTTTTCTTTTTCTAATTTCCGAAGGTGCGACGAGATGGAACATTACTGTCTGGACGACGAATGGACTTGCCTAAACACGCTCTGCATTCCTCTGAAGAAGCATTGCGACGGACATATGAATTGTTACGACCATTCGGACGAATATAATTGCGGTACGTTCGTGGATATCGCATTAGCCTAGTTCTCTCTTACGAGAGTTTCTTTTTCTGATCGGATTTACCTTTCGGCCCCTTTGTCATAGTTTGCGAGGCTTCAGTTTACCAGTTTATCGGAATATAATAATCTGTGTACGGTTGTGTAGGAGAGGCGCACGCGTGTTACACGTTGCAAGGGAATCGTGCGATGTTAAAAGAGCGAGACACGCCACGTACGAGAAGATCATGACCGATAAACGTTTCTTGTTTGCAGTCTGCGACCTGGAGGCGCATTTCCAGTGCGGTAACGAGACTTCCTGCCTTCCATTGGAAAAGAGATGCGACGGCAAGATAGACTGCTGGGACGCGGCCGACGAGATTAATTGCACCTTAGGTAAGATACTGATAATCACTGACAGTTGTGCTCACGAGAAACTTATAACGCTGCTGGTTTGCGAACCATCGACTCGTCGAAATAATTCTATCTCCGTGTGAAACATCCTGGATAATCGTATAAAATCATACACGACGGTTTTCCTTCAGATTATCCTACAGATAGAGTTCGTCGAACGTATCGCCGGCCAGCAAAGTCTCTCTCTCTTTTTCTTTTCATTTTGATTTTTCTCTTCCTCTTTGGGTTAAGGTCTGTTTCAATTTCTTTTTTTCTGTTCTTACTCGTAGGTCATAATCTCGGTAGGTGTGAGTACATACTCGTTTCTTCAATTCTCGCATGTATTCGATGCACGCTCAGTTAATTGCTATGGTATCGAGGCGTAGCTTGTTCTCTCGCTAAATGCTTTTATCCACAAGTCGTGCACAACGAACCCTTTCATTGTACGCGTACAATGCTGCTTTTGATTTTGCTTCAGCTTTCAAACGATAGAATTTCCCTATCGTTGCGCGCGTCAAATCGGTGTAGCTTGTTGAGATGGGCTTCTATGAAAGAATGTAGAACTACACGCTGCGATGCTTGTTTCATTTGCACCATGGTCGCGTAAAAAGTTGGGAAACAACGTTTCTTTTGATGCCAGCCTGTCCCTCGGAGAACGAGTTCCCGTGTAGCAACGGTCAATGCATATTGAAAGCTCGTTTCTGCGATGGACTGCCAGACTGCCTCGATGGATCTGATGAACCTCACGGGTGCCAAGGACGGTGTAACAAGCACGAATTCACATGCCAGTAAGCTGTCCATAATTCTTACAATATTCTTATCCTTCATTTACTGTTTTCTACAAGTTACATAAAAATTGCTTTCGTTGTGACATACAGAAATGGTAGATGCATTACGAAGGGAATGAAGTGTAACGGGGTCGATGATTGCGGCGACGGAACCGACGAGAGGCATTGCAAGGATCGATTCTTCTAGCTGCGCACGTTATCCACGTCCTTTTGTCGTGCACATCATCGCATTACAGTATTCCTTATTAAAGATGAAATTTAAGTAAACGTTGTACATAACTGTACTGCATATGTACATGCAGTGGTATGTAATAAATGGTTTACAAGCGGAATACTTAATGTTCAGGGTGTAATTAGGAAACGATATATTTTTATTGATGCATCATACGATCGATTACAAATGTCCACTTCTTCATTCCAACTTATATTCTTTCTCTTTTTGCTTCGACAGAATATTATTTTAAAGTATTACGAATAACACGTGCCTGTTACATACAATATACTACGGTAAATAGGAGATCTTTCTTTCTTTTTTTGCTTTTTAAGTTTTCCTTTTTAATGTGCATTTCTTTATGTCGTGCGTCGCACGCACGCACACGCACACACACGCACACACACACACACACACACACACACAGAGGCACGCACACCAGAATCACGTATACATATGTAAGGTATATTTTTGTATACAATCAACAAGTTTGTATAAAGTCCTCTCTGAGATGTACACGACAAAAAACTTGCTTGCAAAAAAAACTGTCTAGTCTCTTATCTAAATAAAAGGTTATCGGTACGATAAATATATACAGATATATTATATAATACGCACATTCTCGATATTGCTTTCACCAAAAATCACCGACACACATGTTTCCCCGTGGCTCCTCGAAACTTTTCACGTATCGAGGACAATTTACAGGAATTCGTCCGGTTCTCTCGGTGCATCGAGATCGCGATAGTGAATGACTGGTCGAAAGTCTCCTCCGCCGCCACTGCAACGTTTAATAAAAATTAATAGGATTTCAATTTTGATGAAAAACCAAATGCAATGCGTTAAAGATACGTGCAAATGTAAATCCTAAAGCGACCAACGACCAACTGGACATAGGAGTCGATCGGAAATGCGGGATGTAAAATAAAAGCACATACAATTACTTAGTAACAAATAATTTTATTTGCTATTTATTCGCTTATAAGATTACAGCATCTCACGATCCTGTTTCTTTCTCTTTCTTTTCTTTCTGATAAGGGTCGCGCGGTACGAGAAGTCTCTTTTTTTTCTTCCTTTTACTAAAATACACGTTATAATTATATATGTATATACTTTCTTTCTCGTTATGTACATGAGTCGTCAAGACTAGCTCGTGTTAAAAAGATAAGAAGTGTGCTGATTTTGTAACACATTGCGTTAGATGGCCGGCAATTTGGTTTCGCTTATTACACCCTGTGTTACATAATCCAGATATAAATCTGCTGGCACGTAAGTCCGATATTGTTTAAAATTTGTCTCATTCGTTTTTATACGTTAGCACGAAAAACTCGAGTGGAACTTGACAAAACTTAGAACATGTCCATGTCTAGCTGATCCAAATCATTATAACTAACAATAGGCCTCGAAGTTGAGTCCGGTGCAGCCCTGTAAAACAGCGTGTCGCTACGTTCAATACATCGAAGGAAAACTTTGGGAACCGACCCTGATCCATTTTTCAAACTGATCATTTTTACTCAACAACGTACAGATCGTTGAAAATCCGTTTTCCATGTTATAACAAACTAACCTACCAAATGCAGTGTGCTACGAAAAATAAAGCGAAAAAATCCTTTACCGTCCTCTGTTGAAACCACCACGATTGGAACGTGGCATTCCAAATCCTCCACCGAAACCTGCTCCATAACTGGACCCATATCCTCCTCTGCTGCCACCGTAACCAGCTCCGTAGCTTCCAAATCTATGCAATCCAATTGTATACACGTACATTTTAGTATTCATTTTTACACAAGTTATAACTGATAGGTAGAACATATTACGAGCACACATTCTTTTCTATTAACTGATAAAATGGTTTAATATAAAAACATTTGATATTTACGTGCTACATCCGTAAGGAGTGAACCCTTCGCGTATGCTTTCTCTCGGTGGTGCTTTATTCCCTGGATGTTCTGGAAGTTGCGGTCTCTTTGGGTCTCTCAGGTAATTGTTGAAATATTCCGCTTCCGCTTTCACCTCCGCTACCTTTTCCGCGTGCTTGTTAAAAATATGTTTCCGGATGAAATCTGGTCCTTTGAATTTCTTACCACTGAGTGGACACAGCCATTTATCTTTCGATAACTCTTGGGTATTCGCCTGAACGAATTTTTCAACCTCACTAATTCGAAATATTAAGGAAATAATGTATAAGAGAACGTAATTATTTCCATTTCAAGAATGTTTCTACATAAAAAAGGATACGCTTCAGCGTTCTTAGCACCCAGCTTATCAAATTCTTCTTGAGACAAGGTAGCGACTGGTTGCAAGAACGCTGCCATTTTGCTTTCGAAATTGCGGCAGTACTCTGATAATTCCGTGCTAGAAACTTTAGCGGTCGGAGGAGATCCTCTGACGTGCATTATTCCACATCTATTTGGCATTTCGTCCTCGTTAGGATATTCACAGTGATTGTAATAGTCGACTGAATGAACTATTCTTAAATAAAGAATCAATCTATCTAACACCTGGAAACACGAATAACATTTACAAGATCAATATGAATTTTTCTATTTTACAATCGTACATTATGTACCTTAATAAGTGTTGGATCTCTTTCGATTGGACCGTCACCGTCACCTCCCAATTGACCCTCTTCTTGATCACCGGACATACCTAGTAATTCTTCTTCCTCGGCCGATGCCTCTTCTATTAGATAGTCAGTGATGTTCTTCAATACTGGATTTTTGGACGATAATCCAAATGCCTGTGAAAACATACGTTACAACATTTTACCGACATGATTAGAGGCGTTAACTGAATGTGTAAATGAGGCATCGCCTTACAGCTTGCTCTACATCATGTACATTTTGAGTGCTTTTATTCTCCTTGTTATCGTCCTCTTGTTTAAACGTATTGTCGTCTTTCTTGTCATCATTCCACAAACCAACCCTATTGTCCAAGTTGTGCACGATCTTAGCACTTAATTTGATATCGTGCCTGACTATTTGTTTATGAGAAGTTAAACCGTTAACTGTGCGAATGCGGCGCGATAGATCTCGGTTTACTATAGCACCAAGTTCGCAATCCCGTAACTACAAAAAATTATACAAATACTTATAAAAAAGCTTCAAATCTGTTCATTGGTATTTGAAATGTTTGTTAACGTACTCGAATATTGTTCAAGCTCCAGCATATTTCTTTTATATTCACTTGTCTTTCAAAAGACACCCATCCTCTTCTAAACCATCTTCTCTCTGGTTGAGGATCTGCTATAGCAACTCGTAAAAATCCAGGGAAACGTTTACACATCTATTTGTAGAAATTATTCGCTTAATTACACTCATATAACTGCTTGCACACCACCTTCACACACAAAATAAACAACTAACCGCTTCAACTTCTGCTTTCGTTATGGTGGGTGCTAAATTACGAAGGAAGATGCTACTAGTCTTGTGCAAGGCTCTAGGTTCTTTTTCCTTATCTTCGCTAGCTAAATCGATCACCGCTTCAGGTTCTATAGCGGACTTTTTAGCTTCTGGTTGTTCGTTGTCTGCTTTAGCTTCTTGGCCGTCTTCCTTACCTTCTTCTGCATCTGCATTTTTGTTACTGGTATCCACCTTCTCAGTTATATCTGAGAAAAGAGAAAACATCGTCGAATTATAATTTGCAATTCTAAATTAATTATACAATACAATTGAAACTTACGAGTTTCCGTTTTCGGCGTATCGGGTTTATTACTGTCACTGCCAGAAGAACTACTGGTGCTACTGCTACTGCTGCTGCTGCTGTTACTGTCAGTTCGTTTTCTCTTTTTAGTATTAATTTCCTCCGGTTTACCTATATTATACCATGAGCGAAACACTTGGAAATGTTTAAGTAATAATAAATATTATTGTTTGTTCAATAAACAAAATAAGATACCTGCACCATCCATATCGTCCTCCTTTTTCGCCTCTTCAGTATTTTCTTCTGGTTTTTCAACCTCTTCCATCGAAGCCTCATCTTTTGCTGTACTTTTCATTTCAGTGTCTACATTCTGTCCATTTTTAAAATTTTTCTCCATCCGTAGAACCTCGTCCGGTTTATTCGCATCGCTGTCGACCTTTCTATCAAACGCAAGTTTACCCTTTGTGTCTTCCTTATCCTTAATCGTGTCTTTAGACATAATCGTATTCGCTGGTTTTACATCTAGAACTTGTAAATCTTCTTCCGTACCACCCTCCAATTTAATAACCACCGCATCTAGTAGGTGCAGCAAAATGTCAGCCTGATCGGCATCCACGGAAACTTTATCTATTTCTTCAACATCGAGCATTTCCAAGAAAACTTCAACACGTTTCTACGAGAAAACAAAGTGTGGCGATAGAATCGACTAATACATTCTAGATGATGTACGCATGTTGAGAATTTGTTGTACCTTCAGAGCTGCTACTTGTTCATCTTTTCTCTTCACCGATTCTTCCGGATGATACTTTATTTTGAACCTGGTGATCGATAAAGAGTACGGTATTAGAATCGATATCGAAATGAACTTCCCGTCAGTTAAAGCAAACAGACGTACAATTTGTGGATTTATCATTTATATTTATATATTCGAGAAAGTGGCATTAGAATGAAAATAGTAGTTTTACTAATTTCTCAATATAATATTATACTGAGAATATTCGTACAAGCACGAGCGTACTTTTTTACTTTAAAGCCTTTCAAAATCGAGAAGATAATCGACTATAAATATCTATATGTACAAAATTTATGTAATCGTGACAGTTCGCGACAGGTGTTCAATAAAATATATATAGTAGTAATTGTTACGTTTCCCATCCGTATCTAGAGCGAATCAGTCCTCGTAACTAAGCATTATTGTATCCTATTTCCTCGAGACGATTATTGCTAAATTATCAGTTTTACTGTCAACATTGTCAGTTACAGAATGAAGCCTCACCTGTAGAGTCTGATACTTTTACTCGCATTCAGTTTTCTTGTCGACTCAGAGGTCTATTGTAACAATAGCATATCTTTCAAATGTCAGAAATAATTAAGCGGGTTTAGAACGCGGCCTACCGCGAGCATGTTTGGGCTTTGCGCGCCCAGCTCGCATCTTTCTTTAACTACCTAATAGACACCTCGATTCTTCTGCGATGCGCGAAACGCGAAATGTATAAAATATCGTACGAAAAAATAAACGAGCGAGGTGATCTGTGCCCAAGACATAAGGCGTTGCTGGCTGTACGCTGTAGGGATAGACAGAGCTGGTCATATTGCTTGGAATTACCGATAAAATTGTGTCTGCAATTTAGCAAAAATTATAAAGCTACTACACCCTCACGTCCTTCTGTTCAGCATACGTATGCACTCTGCGCATACATACCCGAACAGAGAATTCGATAATTTCCATAGGATTAAAAGATCATTACTTTCTACAGTGGACAGAATTTTCGCGCAACAAAAGCGGCGTACAACTCACACATAAAAATATCGGATACATGTTTAATATTTCAACGAAAGCATTAGTTACACCACTGTAGAAATTAATTATTTTCATATCCACATTTAAGTACGACTGAGCTCCATGATATTAATTGATTAAGAAACGAAATATACCATTCTTCATCCTTGTGTGCAACGAAGAATTCGTTCAATTGTTGCCTTCTAAATTCCAACTTATATTCGTTATATCGTTTAATAGCTTCTTCGTCGGTAATCGTGTCTTCTTGAGTTACGAGAAACGCTTTGAACGACATCATTGGCGGTTGAGTTTCAACATTGGAATTGCTGAAGTTACCAGCCACCTCTCGACTGCACAAAACATCAAATGGCATTACAATTAGTGGAAAAATTCCAAAGACTTTAACGCTACCTTAAACAGGCTAACAATTTTGGAGTGAATCGACTCCTCTTTTGCATAGTTATGGTACAACCTCTTTTTTTCATGACAATGCTGTTTACAAATCAAGAACAAATACACAAAGAAAAAAGACTGTCTCTACAAAAATAACATAAGAAACACAAACCTGCTGCTGTTACCATGGTTTCCATAGTGATGATTACCATGATGGGGAGGTGGATAATGATCAGGACCCCAAGAGGTTGCACCACCTCCTCCACCTCCATAATAATCATGGCCATACCTTGGCCGATCGTCCCAATCTGCTCTCATTCTTTTCATAGGAGGTGCCATCTCCTGAGACCTTGCAGGGCTATATCTATCGCGTCCTCCACCTCCTCCTCCACGGTACTCTCTATAATCTGGTCGTTGCCTAGGACGGCTAGACCACTCCCTAGAATAATCACTACTGTTAAAATTATAAAAGGCTGTGTACACAAAATTGATCATATCATTGTGCAAATATAATAACTTTTTATTTGTCAAGAAACACTTTAAGGCGTATAAATTAAGTAGTTACCTATCCACCCAGTCGTCCCTCCTTCTGTCATCTCGACGACCCTCTCTCGAATAAGATTCCGTTCTTTCCCCGCGGAATTTGTCCCTCCTTTTCCTGTCGTACTCGTCGTCAGAGTCACCCATAATGTATAGATTAAATGCTAAACAGACAAGGTATGGGAAACGCTTTTACAGAATTTAAATTGTTAAAAAAATATTGTCAGCATTTTCTGGAATCGTTCTACATCGAGAAAGGGTTAAGTAGGCAATTGGAGCACACGTATTTCTCAGCACGTGACCCACAAGCACTTTCAACCACCTGCTTATCCACGTTATTATTTAAAGGTGTATAAACGTTTTTAGAACCGTTTATTATATGGTTATACAGGCTATCAATAATTTTTCGAACAAAATATTCGAATAACGCGCGAGTGCTAGCAATTTGGAGTGTCCAAATTGCTTGTATTTCGTCTATTAGATGAGACACTATTCTTACGAAAAACATGTACATGTAATGCATTCGAATAAAAAACGAAATTGAAGAAAAATAGTAAAAACTCACCCACTCAAAATATACCGTCGAATGAAATTAAGAGTTCACCATGGACGATTTTTGTCACCCGTTACTGTGCGTCACCAAAGTACCATTCGCTGCGAGGTGCGGCGTCAGATCGTTGCAATCGATACTGCACTCGAGTATCGATTATTCTCTCTTTCGAGACCCGCGAAATTCAAATGAACTTTGTGTTACATTTTTCAATCGTTTCTTAATATGCATGTAACGTGTATAAAGAAGTATATTTAATACGTCACAAATTAGTTTCTTTTGCTTTTACAGTTACATTTAAATATGCTTAATGCAATAAATAGAAATACACTGTTCGAATCAATAGAAAAAAACTTTACCCTGTATTTAAAGAATCTTTATTAAATCATATATAATCGTAATTAAAAATAAAGAACAGTAAGTTTACGGTTTTTCCGAATTTTGATATGATCTCCTATCCAAGATATCATCGTTTCAGAAGAACGCTGTTAATAAAGTGTGCGATCTATAAATAATTCTGCAATCACGCGGTAACAATTACACAATGATCATCGATTCTTTTCACAGCGATTCGCAGAAAATGCAAAGATCATTCTTATTATTATTATAAGAAGTAACAATTCATAGTCAGAGAAACCCGCTTTATTTATAAGCCGAAAGAAGGCGAAATTTATGAGAGATGCTCGCCTTTTGACCAAGCATTGAAATCATCGTGTCTACCATTCTCTCAGGATTCTTGTTTTGCCCACAAGTCTTCTCCACGCACTGCAGCAAATAAACGAACAAGGCCAACAATGACCAAGCCAGCTGAACTGCAGCGTAAAGGACGAAAACAAAACGATTTGTATGGAATGTTAAGCATTGGACAAATAATCCTGAGCGATGTCATAAATTCGAAAGAAGCGAAAAAGAGACAAGGAGAGAGGGAAGCGAGGTTGAGTTACGCTCCAATTCACATGATCCTCCTTCCTCTTCGGAAGGAACGTGAGGGGAATTGTGTGCATCTCGTGTGGAAACTCCTAAAGCGGGATGACGTAGTCTCCACAAAGCCGGCCGGCTGAAACCAGTCGTTCGACGTACGAGGCGCCGTGTCGCGTCCCGTCCACTAGAAAAAGCTAAAGAACAATTATTACTCATTGCCACCCACGTTCGGGCGTGCTTCTTTGCGGTCGGGGATGATGCTCACGGCAGTAGATATCCTTTCACTGCCGGGGGTACCCTTATATATACATGTATTCGATCGAGACTCGCTTTGCAATGGTTCGAGGCTCGTGCCGAACAACTAAGGAATTCAGAGTGGCTGATAAACTCGAAATGATTGCGGTCCTTCCAAAGATCCGTTTTCCGCTCTTTATCTTTCTAATATCTACGCTCGTTATTCATTCAGGTAACAAAAGTTTCATATTTTGCTCTATCATGTGTTATATTTTTCTTATAAAAAAATTACAATTTGAACGGTCGCGATACTTCTCGACTTGTTTTTAAGAGCACATATCATATTTAGGAATAAAACAGATTACACGCGAGGTGGATTACAAGGTTTCTATTAATTCTTATTACTCATTCTGAAAATAGGCAGCGTTTCCGCGTCCGCGTCTACAAGCGTATTCGCGAATGCAGGTGGAAGCGCATCCGCGTTGAGCAACGCGAACGCGTTTATTGGAATTGGAGGTCTTCCTGGAACCGGTGTGGGCCATGACGGACACAAAGGAATCCGTAGTTACGACAATAGTGGCTCTAGTGGCAATAAGCAGCCTGGCGGAGGAGTAAAAGAAAACCGCGGCTGTACAAAGTGCAAATGGGAAAATGATGACTACTGGGAAAAAGAAGAGCCGGAAACAGAGTCGGAAGAAAAAGACGAAGACAATTGCTACGAAGATGGACAGTACAGAGAACACGATCATGGTCGTGAACACGACGATGGAAAATATAAAGAGCACAATCATGGACATGGAGGCAAAGGGGGGTCATCGCCTTCTAATATACAGAAAATAGGAGCTACTAATCCTGTTAGTCGAGGGTCATATACAGGAACTGAAAGCTCTGCAAATGCTGGTAGCAATGCAGGAAGCGGTGCTCCGTTTGAAGGAGGACCAATCAAAGAAGGCCCAATTGAAAACCCAACCTCTAGATCTCTATGGAATAAAGTGTCACCAGTTTCTGCAGGTGGTATGTATGCACAAGGACAGCCGAAACCTAGTTGGAATGAAGGAGGCGGTAATACGCAGTCTGGAAATGGCCCACAAACTGCTAGTAGTTGGAACGCAGGGCCTGAAAGTCCGAACAAGAAACCCGAAACAGGTTCTGGATGCTTCGGTAGTCATCACTCTGGCGTCGACTGTGCCCAAGGTCAGCTAGAGGTTTTACACCTCATGTGAAATGATAGTTTAACCATTCGTTCGAACGGCATTTTTTTTTTCGCATAAATTCGCCGGTGTCTACTATTGTTTGATTGAATCTTGAATGTTAATCAAAATAAAACTTCAACTTTTGTCAAATAATCTGAAAATGATTAATAAACAAAAACTGAGTGAGTTGATTTTTAATTTATAATAGGTTCAAGCGGTGCAAGTCCTGTCAAACAGGCGCCAGTGCCGTACCCTGGAATCAACTTTGGAAACGTTCAAAAACAGGCATCTCCTAGCTATTCAGGAAGTTCTACGGAGCGATATAATCCACAGGGATTCCCTGCCGGGTGTTCTACTGGTCCCTTCGGTACTTGTGCTGGAAACACAGTCGAAAAGCCAGGACAATATTTTAGTTCTCCTCAAGGTAGTTCTCCTGGATCTTCGTATGGCCCTCCTAGTGGACCAGGAAAATATCCTGGAAGCGGTTCTTCTGAAGGTGGTTTTCCTAGACCTTCGTATGGTCCCTCTAGTGACTCAGGAAAATATCCTGGAAGCGGTTCTCCTCAAGGTGGTCCTTCTGATCCTTCCTATCGCCCTCCTAGTGGACCAGGAAAATATCCTGAAAGTGAATCACTTCAAAGTAGTCCCTTTGGATCGTCTTATAATTCAGCAACTGGACCAGGAAAGTATCCTGGAAGTGGATCACCTTCAAATGCCAATAGCGGTGTAACTGCGAACGCTGTAAGCTCAGCTTATACCGGAGCAGGAAGCGGACCAGGATATTCTGGCCATCCTACGAGCAGCAGTCCGTCTAATGACTCTCCGTATGTAAATAGAGGAACACCAGGTTTTCTTAGTGGCAGCAGTTCGTCCGGAAGTCAGCCTGGCGTTAAGGGAGGTCCGCCGAAACCTGGTACTGGAAATGGATCACCTGGTAAACCTTCAGGTCCCAGAAACACAGGACCAAGTACGGGCCACGGTTCTCTTAACAACGAAGACAGCAAGATCTTTTATATAAATGTTAATCCTGCTCCAGGAAGCCCAGTAGGTATTAAACCTCACAGAACTACGAGTGTTCCTTATGCTGGTAGTGGAATAACGAAACCTACCTATCAACCTGGACCTTATGATACTGTAGGAACAACTAAATCTCTTTATCAATCTATTCCCTATGGTGGCACGGGCACAACAAAGTCTCCATACCCCGGTAATTCTCCCGGAAGCATTCCTGATGCTCCTGGAAGTAATAACAATAATGGATGGCCTACTCCAAACACAAATAACTATCCTACAAACCAGAGTCCATCAAACGGACAACCATCAGGAGGTTGTACCAATGGAAACCAAGGTGGTTGTAAAAGTGGGAGTGAATGTAACAGTGGCTCAAATCTGAATGGGTCTCCTAGTTACACACCCTGTGATCAGCAAGGTCCTCCTCAAGGAATTAAGAAGTCCACCGGATCAGGAGGTTTCCGACCAGGCGGTTACATGCAAAATTTTCAATCTGCCTTCCCTGGTGGAATGTCTCCTGAAACTGGAAGCGGTGCAGCTAGTTGTTCAACTGGGATACCTGGATGCGCGTCTGGTCTTGGGAGACCACCGTATGCAGACAAAAACGTGAATAACATTCCCAAAGGAGAAGTGTATCCATACAATCCGTTCTTGACTGGAAATCTTACACACGTTCAATATTAAATAACGTTCGTCTTATCCAGATGCTCCAGCTGGAATGGCTACTAGTAAACCAATCGGTCGAGGTAATCCTTTCCTGGAACAAAGAAACGATGGTGCAGACGTAGGTACTGGAGCTTGGAGTCAAGCTACCACCATACCAGCTACTAATCCAGGTAATAGAGGTACAGACGTTGTTTCCACTGGAAGAGATAGAACAAAATCTATTGGTGAAGGCAATCCTTTCCTGGGTGCGTCCCCACTAGGACACTCACGAGGAGACATAGAAATCGGTGGTACAGGTGGTCCATTATCTGAAGAACCAGGTAATCCAGGCATTGGTAACGCTGGATTAGGTCAACCTGCAAATGGAAATCCTTCCTGTAATGATAAAACTCAACCTGGATGTAGAGGGTTTTCTAATAATCTTGGATCGAACTCGAATTTTGGACCAAGCAATGCCAGAAGTCCTTTTGGTGTGAAAAATCCATCTGTGGGAAGCCGTGGCTCAGGAAGTGGAGGAGGTGTTGGTACGGGGTCTGATGGATTTGGAAATTTCCCTGGACAAGCTAACGTCGGCAATGGCAATTGGTTCGGTGGAGGCCTCGCTGGGGCGTTTAGCGGCGCTCAAGCTTCCAGCTTCGCCAATGCGAATTCCGGCTCGTACTCCGGTTCCAGAGGTACATTTGCTCCTTCCGTATAAATTTGTCTTGCAAATATTGTTTCGATATCGTTCACTTGACAAGCTGAAAATGCAAACGACTCGTTAAGAAAATAACGATATAAAGAATAATAACGATAACAATGTTCCGATATCCTATATCGCGCCGATTACGACATCGTTATGTGAATTCCGTTCTGAGTTCTCGATGTGGAACGGAAAATACGCGCCCGATCGCGAAAGGTTAAAGGGCAGAAATCTCAGATCAAGATTGACATAATTGAATGAATGTAAAACTCCCATACAATGGAAAAACTGCTCAAGGTCTGATGTCAAACGAAGCAGGAGGATCTAGCTTTGTCGGCTGATTGATGAAGTTTCCCTTACAATAAAACATAAATTAGAAGCGCGGGTTGTTAATTAATGGCAATCATCGATCCTATCGAATAACTTCCGCTCTCTTAACGTACACGGCGTTACGTAATTCTACAACATTCAATAGCCGTGCAGTTTATACATATGCATACGTTCACCTAAGCGTAATACGGTTATCATTTTTGACGCAGCATTTAGTTTGTCAATATTTACCATTGTATTATAGTTGTACGTAACAGAATTGCAGACGATGCATGATCGATACTGAAACGAATGGTTTTTCTTTCATAGATCCCAAAGCAGCTTTTGGACAAGCAAATAGCGGAAGTTGGTCCTCTAGTGGAGCCAATGTAGGAAGTCAAGCTGGAAGCGGTTCCTGGTCCTCCAACGGCGCAACCGCTTATGCGAGTAGCAGTGCCAGCAGTAAGTTTCTAAAGTCAAGTTCATTTCTTACTTGCATAAAAAGCCAGAAAGTCCATTCCTAAAAGAAGAAATAATGTTTTAGGTTGGGCAGACGCTGGATCAGTTCCTGTGAAAGGATAATCGACCGAAATACACGACATCGTCAATGGAAATTGAATTTCAATCATCTATGTAAACGATTGCTTTAATTTGCTTCATCTGTATTTTCATGAATAATTTATTTTACTTACCCATCGTTTACAATACAATCTTGTTCAAAAAGAATCATTGTTTCTTTATACCTCTAGGATCCTGCACATTTACCTGGATAATTGTCGGAAAATTAATGTGGATTCCCCGAAGCGGTTGTACCACTATTATGCGAAGATTGTTATCTATCGATGTTCAATGAATAATAACATAATCGATGAATGCGACATGTTCTCGAACGGATTTAAAATGTTTCCAATTAAAGAAGAATATGAATCAATAAAAAAACATATCGTGTTGTGGTATTCATTGTTGTGTCAATCAAAAATCATCAAAAGTTGATTACTAAGAAGGATGCTCAAACGTGTGTTACGTGTAATATTTGCCTTTCACAAAACGAATAGCGTCCTTGGACGAACGACAAGATTGCCTGAAGACATTATTAGCTCCTATTAAATATATTCAAATGCGTCATCAATCAACACTGTCCAAATTGGGTACCGTTACAGGAAGAAAAACTAGAAAGACTATTCCTTTTTGCTTAATATTTCTTAAATCAACATAAGTGTACTTGGAAATAAAAAAAAATCTTTTACGTATTTCTATAAGGCGGGATATGCATTATAACTATGAAATTTTTATTATTTGTATCGTGAAATCATGGTCGATGATTTAAGATTTGTGAATTAGCATAATGGAACAAAATATGTATGACGCATAATAATTTAACGTGGAAGTAGACTGTGTAACAATATCATTGACGCGAAGTCCAGCAAACGTTGTTTCACTAATGGATTTAAATATAATATCGCGTTTGTGGAAATACCACTTATGTCACCGATATCTGCTGAAGATAGCGGTCTACACGATGGGTACGCTAGCTCATGAATTATTTACGATACTACTGAGAGAATCTCGAATCCGCAGTTACATACATCGACGCTATCATCAATATCCTCGCAAAGATGACTTTATCTAACCACCTGTCACATAAATATACGACGTGATATTATTGACAATTAAATAGCCTTTGCCTTGAGGATTGCATGGAAAATCATTCGTATTAGCCACTCTGTTACACAAATTCTACCGTTCATGACAACTTTTCCGAAAACAATGAAATAAATACCAATTAGAAGAATGTTAGTAAAATTAAAATTAAAAATACTTTGGATCAAGGAAATTATTTTAACGGCTTTATCTCAATAAATATACGCAAAAGGCATGAATACGTAGGAATCAATCGTTTATTTGAACTGTACAGTGTTATATGATGAAGCTGCTCTTTTAAAGAGAGGTCTGAGGCCTCGTGCATTTCATTCACCACGGGAATAAAGAGGACTAGGTGTGTATAGCAAGAAAAACAATTCGTGAACTGTTGGGAAACATCGAGGCCTACACACGAGACCTCTGAGTCGTGTTCATCACAGATAAAATTCTGACTTTACTTTAAGATGAACGATCTTCCGAATATCGGTAGTTTAGAGTTTCTCTTAGTGGACTGATTTAATGGATCTTTCCAGCCGCGACTTTGTACGTCCCCTTCCCGGAAGAATCGAGGTTGGCCGAACTGCTGCTGTAGACTCCTTTGGCATTGCCCACGCTTCCGCTCTTATCCACTCCCTCGTCTAGGTCGCCCATACGGTTGAAGATACTGATTCAATAGTAATAATTGGATTAATTACTTACTCGTCGAATTATTAACATATCCAAGCAGAGGAAAGTGTGAGAGAAAGATTTAAGTAACAAA